ATGGTTTTCGAGAAAAAATACACCAACGTGAAGAGAGAAAACAAAACACTTAATGTCAGCACTGGGTTCAAACTGGTATCACGAGGTCAAAGTGATTTGATATCCAAACGTTCCATAATTCAGGCAAAACTCATCTTGCTATTAATTTTTCACATTTTCTATTATTAACAGCAACACTTATACCTCATTAAATTGATACGAAAAATTCGAGTTCATTGAAGATGAAATTTTTTAACGAAATTATGCCCCATTATTTGTGATTTTATAAAATGAATGACGAAGACTTTAAAATGGATTTGATTAAATTTGAAAAATTTGAGTGAAAGTTGATGGGAAATTCCATTGTTTATGGTCAAGCGCGAAAGAATGCGATTTTTCGTATGAGGCAAAAGTGTGCGAAAATGAAAATATCATAACAAAAAGGCAATTATTTTCGAAAATAATTAAATTCGCAACCAGAAAACTACAAAATGTTCAAGTATTTGAATGAGGTTTTACATTGCGTCGTCAAGGTCTTTGGGATGAGCCAAATTGTTTGAATAATGTGCTTTTTTTGAACCATCAACTAATAATTATGCTTTGTATCGAGTACTCTTGTCTTGTGTGAGTGTACTTCACCGATGTGACTATGCGCTATTTCTTGCCTTTCAATTAAATGATGTGGCATTTAAAAGTCCCTCCAATTAGAATGTCAGAACAATGAAAATATTATTTCTATGACAAAACATCTCAATTTTTTTCCCCAATGCGACTGCCCAATAATGTATTGACCTTAATCAAGCATTTATTATTAGAATCAATGACTTAATTTCATTTCCTTAGCTATAATACGAAAATATTTTCAGAAAACATGGCCGTTGTTATTATAGCAACAAATTGAATTCGAATCTTATCTGAACGAGAAAACAAAAATGTTTTTCTAAAGTTAGCACAATTGGCGGAGTGCAGTCAATGTGAAATATTCGAAAGGCGTATTGTTCATCGTTGCTTCGAATTCTATTCTTTTGTATAGTTCAGATGGTGCGCTGTTATCGATATTTTTGATCACAAATAATAATAACTTGAAGAGTCGAAGTGTGAGCTTCACACTTCTTGCATATAATTGCAAACGAACGGTGTATGTGCACATTTGATGTGGTATTCTGTTGTTGATGGTTTTTTTTCTCTCGCATTTTGAAATGAAGTGAAGTCAAGCTTAGCCGCCGATAAATCTAATTTCTCTGCCTTCAGTTTTAGCAATTCTGAACGAGGTGAAGAGAAAAAAAAGACGATAGAGAGAAGCATTTCCTTTGTTTACCGCGCGCGATTTATTAATCTGATTATGTTTTAAATTTCTTTTTTGAACTTTAGCGGGGAAGAGTTCATGTCTGTTCTACATCGAAGCAAGATGTTAGCATCGGTGACAGTTGAAGTTTTAACACTTGAAGTTTGTTATTTTGAGATCGTCGTGAGTTGGCTTCCGTCAAGTTCGAATCATTAGAACCATCAACGATGAGAAACCGTTATAAAATGGTTTTGTTTTCAGTGTGTGTATGATTCGTGTCGTTTTTTTCATTTCATTTCTCAGAACTTATTCCTTTGCCGAAGTCTAATTTTGTGTATAATGTTGTGTTGTTGTTTTGTAGTTTCTTCATTTTGGTCGTCGTCATTTCACGTTTTGATGATGTGCGCGCACACACGGTTCGCTTCAGTTTTATTTGATGCCGTAAAACGATTATAGTATCTTTCTTTTTTTTCCGTTGAATTTTAAACAAAACAACCATTATTATAAAGAAAATAACAATAATTATAATTTGGTTCAACCGAAAAAAAGAGAAGCTGAATTTTTGACGATGAATTTTAAGCAAATAGTGTATAAATGCGTGAGCGAGTCGTTTTAGACAAGAATACCAAATTGGAAGTAAATATAAACAAAGCGAAAAACCTCAAAGCGAAAAATAAAATAAAATTTATAGAAAAAAAACCATCTCGAGTATAATTGGATCAGCAAAACAGATTTTATGTGTTGTTTCACATTCATCACACATTCAAATTGCCTCGCGGTCACTGTGATTCAATGCCTATTCAGAAGAGAGACAGAAAAAAATTGCACAAAAGATCAACAGAACTCAAACCGTTACTATATTTGCACCTGCGTGTGGCGTTAAGCCTGTTTATTTTATTCTATTCTATTCCCCATCAGCACAATTTCAATGAAGATCGCTTCATTTGAATTATAACACAAAATATAATTCACTGTTTTGTCGAACGGAAAATGTATACATATATATTCTAATACTAATGATAAAGAATTTGTTCCAAATGATGTTGATTGTTCAATAAAAGCGTTAATTTCTCTTTCTCTCTCTCAATGCGTGCACGATCGCCTCATTAAAAGTGGTCGGAATACTTGAAGCGATCGTATACAATATATGGCTATAATCGAAATTCCCGTAATTTATTTTATTAAGACCAAAAGTCAATTCGACCAGCACATTTTGTGTACGCGATGAAAAGATGCTGTTGGGATCTGAATACCCCCAAAACGGTTTACAATCGAAATGAAAATACTTGTTGAAAGGCATTTCAATACTCTCTTGTTCGGCATTTTAAAGAGTTAATAAGGTTTTATTTAATGAGCACATGCTTTTGCCAATTGTGTGGCTGGCATTTTGATACAATTCGTTCAAATAATTACGATTAATTTAATCGGCATGTAATCATTTATTCACTTATTAGAATTTTCACTTTTTCAAATCGTTTCATCAAAAACCAAATGTTCCAGAAATGTTCGATAAATTTCATTTCGTTAGAAAAATGTTCGTTCTGGTTTTGCATGTAATTTAATCTCTACCGTTTCGATGAAAGATTGAATCTTGAAATTCAATGGTGAGATTTTTCGGTATTTTTCTCCATATGTGTGGTATATACCCAATAGAAACCATTGAATACAGCGTGAATTATTGTATGTATTGTGTTTGCAAAAAAAAGGGTTAAAAACCAAATACAAATGCTTGCTTTTTATTACGCTGCACAGTATTTTTTTGCGGCAATTCAAATAATAAATAACACAATCGTAGCGCACCGAATCTGCGGTTTTCAATGGATTTTTCTAAAAACGGTTTCATTTAATTAAGGTTCTAGTAGCCCAGTAGAGTTTATCGCTGTTTGTAATGCGAAACAACAAAAGCCATTTTCCATTTATATTTGAAAAATTGTGTTTTGTGCGTGTTTTATCCCACCCATCTAAACTCGCGTTGGCCGTTTGTGTGGTCAGTGCGGTAAATGTTAAAAGTTTACAATGCACAAAATTCAAAGATCGATGAGCTAATGCACGAAATAGATGCTGTAATACGCGCATCATCGCGCGCTCAACACATTTGCGCACATTAATACTGTTCGCCGCATAGAGCAACAGTTGCAAAATTATGCATTTATACGAATGATAAATTGTATGTAAGCGGCAGTAATGTGCAAAGAAAAAAACCGAACTAATATGATGCACACACCACGGCATTCTGGTTAGTGCAGTTATTTGACTAGTTTTGTCTGTGAATTTCTATTCAATATGCTTTTTTGTTCTTTTGACCTAATGTCCTAATCTATTGAAAAATCAATGTAAAGAGATGTTAACGGAATTGATGCGCATCGTGATTAAATTCATTATCTGTTGTTGTTTTTTTCCCGTGCGTTTCGTTCTCGGTTCCTAGTAGAGAAAAAAACGCCCGGGTCGATCGTTCAAAAAACCGTATTTCAAATCGAATGTTGTAATTATTTCTGATTATCTTTGAGAGAGAGAGAGAAAGAGAGAGAGAGAGAGAGAGAGAGAAGAACTTGGCCCGTTTTTATTGAATCGCGGCAGTCAAAAACAATTTGATGTTTATCGCTGCATGAAGGCTGAACAATTTATTCTGAATTTCGCACGCAATCCCAAAAACGTGCCAAATCATGAGACGAATCATTAGTGATCGCAAGCTGTTTTTTTCCTCTGTAAAATGGACGATTAATTTGTTTTCTTCGTTTTTTTAACAAAATCTTACGTCCACGGAAATCTCAGTGGCTTCACTGATCACACTTGAATAACAAATATATGGTAATTACACTACTTCTACGTCAGATATCACATTTGTAATCTGAACTTCGGCACAATTGCCAGAGTGAAAAGACACACGGTTATTTATCAAAACAAGAATGAATCAAAAGAAAACCAACGAACGTTGGCATTTATGCCATCAATTCGTTCTCATCAGAATATTAATGACTGACCATCAGAATGAAACTTGTTAAATGTGTGGGCGGGATACATGAGAATTTGTCAACACATAGTTTTTAATGAGAACGTGCTCAGATAATTTGCAATCAAATGACGTGAACGAATCTCAATATTCTTTGAAGAATTTCAAATGATTTGACGAAATCTTATATATTTTCTGTAAGTTTCGCTTGATTATCCAAAAAAAAATGATGATGAGTAAATTGGTCTGAAAATAGTAGCCAGAGGCTTTAACTTAAATTTAAGCATTATAATCCCAAATCGCTTCTAAATCACCCATGACTACATCCACCTTTTAAAAAAGCATATGTTGGACGGTTTGTTATTTCGTGTTTCGGTTTTTACATTTCAACGCATCATTTCAATTCTCGACTTAAGTATTCGGACGTCAACATGAATCATATTATTCCACAGAAAAAAAAAACCATTAACAAAATAAACTTAACTCAAAATTCTGTTCACGGATAACAAGCTTGACCACTAAACAAACACAAATGCGAAAAAAAGTGTATACAAATGTTATGATCAGTTAGTAAATATATTCACTGGAAATAGATGACAGAAATGTACATAAAATATGAATTTGTGATCAGGTTGTAGTCAAACACGTCGTTGCAACTGATCTTGTTGTCTTGTGATTCACTTGTACACCCATTTAAATGATGATTTCACATGAATGTGTTTTTTTATTTCAAGAATTTTGTATGATAATTGTACTTGTTTGTTTCTTTTTTGTTCTTTGTCATAGGCAGATAAGATGAAGCCGAGATTGATGAAACGACTGACGTGGTCAGACATATTTACACTAATCGCTGTTTTGTTAATACAAAATGCTGTTGGCCAATCAAACTATGCATCGCATGCGGATAACATCAACTACGTTGGCGAAGGATTGCCCGGAGAAGCGACTCTTGATGGAAAAGTAAGTACAAAATTATGGAATTTCCAACAAATATACCAAAAAAATGTGAAGAATTTTCAACACCGCAAGCATTGCCGCTATTCCAATGTGTTTTTATCTATCCGTGCAGTTACATGTTTTCGACATTTTTTTTCTGCGCCCGATTCTGTACACTACACGGGTGAATTGCGACGCATTCTATATATCAGCTTGCAACATCTGTGCGCATCGAGATAACATTCCGAATAAATAATGCGTGTTGTAATAAATCTTATTTAATGTCGCTTGCAGACATTATGCAATCGCACATTGATAAATGCGTGCACGGTGGTTATTTAAACGTTTACTCTCTTATTTCTTTAGTTCACAGCTACATACAAATTGAAAAGGAAATGCGATAATGATAAAAAAATCAAGAAGAAGAACATAAACATAGTAAAGCCATGGCCAACATGAGCATTTCAATGTAATAGTTGCAAATGTATGCAACTTTGCATTATAGAAAAAGGAATAGCGACGATCAAAAGAATTGAGAATTTTAAACGAAAGAATGAGAGAAAATAAAGAAAAATCAAAATGTAATTAAATCAAACGGTATTATCGTGTGTTTAGCCGGGAGCATACACTCGCAACCAGTACATTTCAATTACACTTTCATGCGTCGGTTGACGAACTGGCCAGTCACTGGCAATTAGAGGTCTGCTCGCAATTTCCCCTAGTTGGATTGCATCACACATATACACTATTTTTCAAGCTTTGATGATTTCAAGCAATTGAAAGAGAGAGAGAGAAAGAGAGAGGCATATAAAGATAGAATTCTGACTTGTAGCTATAGAATTCAATTGCATGTCGGCACCAAGTCTCTTTCAATACGGAAATAAATACAAATACTTCTGCACTGGATAAATTCTAAGTTGAAATCATAGACTCGTTTACAGCAGATTAGGACCGATTTATGAAAAGAACAAGAACATGAAGAATTCAATAAGAAACATGAAAATTGCGCAAAATGAACAAACGAACATTCAACTTTTCTAATTTGATTGCATAACTGCCGTGCTGAAATGTTCGATGCATGCAAAATATTCTAAAGTCATTTGCTATTGCATAATCAGGTTTCAATGGTTGTTGCATCAATTTTTTGCGCGATTTAAGCATGAAATTTATAAATAAATAAAAAATAAATTTTCTGACCGTATTATGTGTTCGAGCAAACGATGTGCTTTCGTTCTATTTGCTCCAGCGCAACGTTTTCTTCACACCACTTTGATCACCGACACGGCATACGCTTTGTCGCTCACAATAAAAGCCAATGAACTTAGCTTATTATTTGTCGATTCATTTTCATCACGCTGTTCACTCGCACTCTCCAGTGCATTATTTGGTCGATGCAGACAGGAAAAGCAAATAATCGCATGAAATTGGTGGAAAAATTCGAGCGACCGAGAGATGAGAGAGACGGAAGAGATGGGCAAAAATAGAAAAATCAACGCTTGATGAATTATGTGAAGTGTAACCAACGGGCAAAATGACAACATTCTAAATGTGCGTGCTGTGTTTTTGTGTGACGTCTCTCTTGTGACTGTGTTCGCTCCAATGAAATATTGGTGCTTGATCTGTGAGCGCCTAAATGGACTGTGTAGCGTAACGAGAAGATAGCATATATCTATTTTATTTTCGCAAAATTCACAGAAAACACGCGTTTCAGGTTTCTGCATCGTTTTCAATAAATGGGATATTTGAATGAAGTGACATCGGCCTCAATATTGATTATAACATTGCCGCAGAGCAAACACTGCATTTGACGGCATGCATGTGGGTGAATGAAATTAAACAAAAAATTTATGAAATCACACTCAAACTCAGTATACGATGCAACACATTACTGCATGCAATCACAAATAGTGGTGCCAATGCACAAAATAGTTAAATATTTTAGATGCAAATGCTTTAAATCATTTTTTTCGACACATGAAAAGAATGTCGACAGAACCAACTGAGCCAATCTACAGTCATAAATAAAATTTTGCGGTTTTTTTTTTCGTTCAAAACAAAAAAAGCACCAACGAGAAAGACACCTACATGCACGTTTAAATTGGTTCGATATAAATTATTTCGACATATTTAATAATTTGCTAGCGCGTCCGAAGACAGAGAGCTTGTATCAATGAAAACCAAACGCGCAAGAAAATAGAAAACATTGTAGAGTGGACGACACGCGAATAGATCGCAAATTAATAAATAAATTCTTTGTGGCGCGCGCTCTTGATTAATAAAATACGTTCTTTGAGTTTCCAATTCATAATTCATTTTTCGCGATTTCGTCTCGATAAAAGAAAAGGAAAAAAAATAAAGAAAACAAAAACAAACTTGTTTATTTATTTGTTTGTTCGTTTGTTTTTTTCTCAATTTTATTTGGCAAAGAGAACATTCTTGAAATTAAAAATAAATGAACCAGCAATTGAATATCACTCACCATGAAGTACTAGAGAAAAATACTTGGAAGCCAGAAACAGAGAGAAAAAAAAAAACATTCCTCACAGGAAATTCCACGCGTGATTTCTTTGTTAATTTTAGTTTCCAATTAAGTTTAGAAAATATTTTTTGCCATTAGCATTACTAATAATCTTTGCATGTGTGTGTGTAATGTGAAAAGTTAATTGAAAAATTTTCACATGTCATGTTGGCGCATTTCTGCATAAATTGAAAACAGAAATATTCTGAATTAATAAAGTTGGGGAAAATTTATGTTTACGTCTCAATTACAATTCGTTTCGCATTCAAATAGGCATGTTTACATTTATGAATCACAAATTCATCTATATGTGTTTACGTACACATTATATCGATTGACTACTTATGAAAAAAAGAACGAGAATGATTCAGACGTTTAAAAAGAATCAATCATGAGTTCATCGAATTATTCTGCTGCTGTTGTTCACATTCTGATATTATTAGACATGTTGTGTTGGTTCAACAAAGCTTTTATTATAAATTATGCCTGTCAATTATTTCGATTAGCTTGGGTGAACATTGATGTAAATGGTGTTTGGTTATTATTATCGTACAAAGACGGGAAGTAAAGCAAAAAAAACCATTGAGAATGAAAGAAGAGAAATGGAAATCGCGAATCGGTCGGTTGAAACAATGAAAAGTAATTAAATTGGCCTATAGCTATAGGTAGGAGAATAGGGGAAAAAAATAAAAATGTTAAACGAAAAAGCGAAGAACTTAATTTGAAAATGAAAAGTGAACAAACCAAAGACACACACAAGATAGAAAATCTTTCAAAACATTTCTTTGAGTCCAATGTCAATTAGTGAAATGATTTTAAAGAAGCAACAACAATATATGAATGTTCTGCGTTGCCACCAACGAGAGCCCGATGACTGACATGGGAAGAAGATAAATAACGTGGTTTAATTAAATGTTTCACTACTTCTTTATTTTTCCTTGCCATTTTTCTTTACGACTCAAATGGCCAAACGATGTAATCCAGCAATGCCAAAGTAATGGTTTTGGTTCTTCATTTCTGCCATTCATTACGTTACGGTGAGGTGGTAATATAATGAAATTGTTCGCTGAATTTTGATAAATTGACTTTAAAATTGACGTTTCAAACTGAAAATGTGCTGTCTAACCTTGAAATTGGCTTTCATATGTGATTTACTCACTGTATTGTGTTTAATTAATTGATGTTCAGGTCTTTGACATTGACATTACATTCAATCTCGATTGCTATCGATCGAAACGATCATATCGTAGCCAAAACAATTGTCGATGTTAACGTTAAACGGAAATTCAACTATGGCTTTGACTTCGTGTGCGTTGATGATACGAAACGATACTGTCTGAGATTTTGTAACTGATTAAACAACCATTCGAACAAATGTCATAGAATTAAAACTGTAGAAAATTGTCCACATAATTTTATGCAAAAAATGGTCGAGAGAGAGAGAGAGAGAGAGAGAGAGAGAGAGAATTATTCGCACAATTATTAAGTCTGTTCGTTATAAAGATTTCATTCGAATGAAGGAGCTTAAGAAGCTACAGTTGGCGAACATGACAATATGACATTTTCTTGGCAGAACAACGATTAAAGTGCTTACCATTTGTGATTCGATTGTCACACATATGCTTGAGCATTTTATGAGATTTGTCGGCTCTTCGTGAGCGGTCACAAACAAAACAAACGAATTGAATTATCATGTGCATGTATCTTCTCGTCATTTATTTGAGCAAAGCACGTCATACGATGAACGTAGAAAGTTGCAATTTTCACATGTGATGTGGGAAAAAACCGATTGAAGCAGTCATTTAAATTGTCGCACAATCAACATTTGCATCGTTATAGAATTTAATTGTAGTCACATTGTTCATTAATCGTATGCATATTGCATTAGAACATACAATTGACAACGATTTATTTTGTTTCTTTTTCATTATTGTGTGTTGGAATAATTTTTATTCGGTTTTGCTTTGTTGCCGCCGGTATGGTTCGGCAAATTCTTTGACATAAGCGTTGAACTGCTGAAAGAGAACGCCAAGCAAGAGAGAAACACTTGACGAGAATGTCTGCCATTTGCATTCTATCTATCAATTATATATTATTGAATCAAAGCAATTTGCTTGTTTTTTTTTTGTTGTTGTTGTTGTATTAAGTGAGGTATTAGCAAAATGTGGCAAGAATTAAGTTTAATTGAAATGTAACACCATAAATAAGTGCACGACATTCGTGACATTTTCATGAAATATCAGCAATGAAAAAACATACTTATTAAATTTAAATAGAATGCATTTGCTTGATTCATATGCTGGCGAAATTCGTTGCCTATTTCTTCCGGTAATTACATGTTTTGGTGGCTGCAACAGAGAGTGGCCCCAGCTAGTGCGTTTCGGCATTTATTTATTTCGTCGACATTTTGGTTGGTTTGATATTTTTGGATATTATGCACACTCGCATATCAAAGTAAAATTGAATTTTTGCCCGTTTGCATTCGTAGGTAATTTTGCAAAAATTAATGTAACGCATGAAACAAGCACTGTCATTTGACTTCATAGATTAATTGTTTTTGTGCTCAATGTGGCGTGGTAAATTTTTTCTGTTCTTCGTTCACGTATTTTTTGTGAATTTACGCGATTCGCTAAATTGCAAAAACTATATTTAACATGTGATCGTATTGTGGACGCATAAATCGCATCAGCATCACTTCAAATGTTCATATTTTCTATTTGCTAGGCGGTTTTTAATACAAAAAAACAAATGCTTGCTTATTATTTTTACATATTAAATCAGAATAATCTTCATCTTTTTTTGTGCCGTTTTTTAATCTTGTTGTCTAAATTATTAAGTCGATTAATTTATAAACTCCATTTAGAAATATTTTTTCATTTTGAATAAATTAAATTATTTCAGGTCACGAAATTGGATGAATTGAGGCCGATCATCTTTTTGAATCGGACGAGAGCGGCGTTGAATTGTGCAGCTGGCTCGATGCAGGTTAGTCATTTTTCCTCCCGTCAAATATTTCATATGGTCGTTATTTCTTCTGGATGTTTTATGTTTCTACCAAATTATTTCCCATCTTGTTCATATTTATTACGTTTGTTTTTCCTCTCGCATTATGTCAAGAAGAACTTCATTTGCTTTCACATTTTTCAATGCTTATGATTTTTCTCAAAAGAGAATTTAATCATTCTCAAGTCAATGTATCACTAAGTATAGTTTATTGACTGCAATTATAGCTAACAAAAAGAAAAATATGCTAATAATTTTAGCTCACTGTGCAAAAACTGAAAGCAATTTATTTGCAAAGTTAATTCATTATCGTTTATTAAACAATTTTGTTACAATCATTATTATTCTCACACACACACATACTCATGAATGCCAGAGTTTTTTTTTATTGAACACAGAACGCACCCATCACCGCATGTGTACATTTTTTCAAGCCATATAACCGCGCACCTACTCTATTATTCAATTCATTTTTTACTTTGCATTCGAGAGTAAAATTAAACCACAAAACAGAAACAACAAGGTCATCCACTAATGGTTTTTTTGTGCGCTGATTTTCATAATTCATTATTGATCTCAATCACATAGACTCACCGCATGGCTTAAGATGTGGAGCAAACATGTTTCAATGAAAAGCGTTTTCTCTCTCTCTCTCTTGCTTTGTGGATAAAGATTTTATATCATTTCCATTATTTATATTTTTTCATAGTAGATCGAGATGAAGTTTACCGAGCCATTTTTCGGTTTAGCATATGCGGATTTTGATCGAAATAGTGCTTGTCAAACGCTGGGAAAAGGAGAAACTAGCGCCCGTCTAGAATTACCTTTAAAAGGATGTGGAACAAAACAGGTATAGTTTAAATGCATTTACAAACGCCAAATTCCAGTGAACAATCAATTTGGACAATCAATTTTTTCCCATAGGAACCACAAAGAGTATTCACAAACAATATTGTTGTTCGATTTCATCCTGGTCTTGAAATGGACGGAGATGAAATCATTACAATCGTATGCCGATATCCACCACCAATCGCTCCACTTCCAGCAGCACCACCAGTACCGTAAGTTCTATAGCCACTAGTTTCAATAAAAAACAAATCCATTTCATTAAAAATATTTTATTTTTCTGATAAAAGAAGACGTCGAGTAGACAAGTCTGCTGTTGGTGCACCATTAAAAGGTACTCAATTGTTGTTTATCGTTTGTGCAATAATGTTTTTGACATTGTTGCTGCTTGGTTTGGGTGTATCATACTACTGTTTGAGTAGGCGCACCATTCCAGTGGTACGTCGTTTGCCGATATCGATTGGATCTGGATCAGAAATTACGAAACTAAGCAGTAGTACATACGGACAAGTTCCACCGTTGGAAGGATTGAAAGTGCCGCATATCATACCACGTGCACATGCAATTGTTGGCGCTGTGCCAAGCACATCAAGCAGCGATGATAATCCATTGATTCCATCTGACTACCCAAGCGAATCACATTCAGAAGTTGAAATTGATACGCGATCATTGCCAGCCAGCTCGGGTGGAAGTTACGATAACCAAGCTTACATTCAAGATAACTCAAGCATTTACAGTGAACACTATGGGCATACACAAGAATTCCAAGCGGCCAATGCGATTGCACAGCAATCATTGGTATCACGTCTTCCGATCGCTGTTAAGGAACCATCACCAACATTCGATGTTCAAGTGCGAGTGAAGCGGCCAGCACCACAAGCTCCACTCTCGTCATTCTCATCGGATACAGAAAGTTTGGGAACGAGCGTTCTTGATCGCAATAATTTGTCAACGATTATGGAATCACATGAAGATCGTGAAAGTGTTATAACAATTGATTCATTGCCACGTGATGTTGCCCACAGTCATTTCACCTATGTTCCCGAATTGCATGCAGCACCAAAATACGTTGAACAACCACCAATCACAACGACCGTCACAAAATCATACAAAGAACAAACCGAGGAACATTGGGCCGAAGATTATCCAGATTCAGTGCCGCCACGATCAATTCCAGAAACGCGTAGCATTGTATCGACAGACACGCGCCATGATATTCATTCCATCAGCGAAATGGTGGACACATCACATTTGTACCAACATCAACCATATGAAACGACCATGTTGCCAAATGAACAAGTCGAACGCTTGCCAGAACCACCAATTGTTGCTCGCAAACCAGAAATCACATCACATCTTGTGGACGATGTATTCTTGCGTACAATTACTGAGAAGACAACCATTGAAGATATTGAAAAGTATAAGCGAATGGTTACGGAATACAAGGCAAAACCAGCACCGACACCACCAACCTGGGATGTCACAATTCGCAATTATCCAACAACTCAAGATAAACCAACGTGGGAAGATTTCTCCGATATTAGCAGTGCACCATCGGTTCAAGTGGAACCGATTAAATACAAACAACCACCTCAAACATATATTGATGAAACTGGTGCAAAACTTACTAGTCCTGAGCTGGTTGTCAATATGAAACCGATTGAGATTCCACCAGAAGATAAGGCCGTACCAAATTGGGATGTTTTGATTCGTATTCTTGAAAATCAAGAAGAAACAACCGATATCATTCCTCCTGTTATTCCTGATGATACTAGCTCAACCCATTCACAAACAAATCAACATATTTTACAACGTCAAATCAGCTATGATGATAAGATAAAATGGCGTGACATTATTACAACTGAATCCACGTTGCGAACAATGCTCACCGAAGCTGTTGTTCGAGAAGACTTTGAACGCATTCGCAGCGATACAAGATACGAAACAATATTCGAACCAACAACATGGGATGTTATCATACGTATCTTGGCACCGCCAGATGATGTCGAATTGCGAGCACCAAGACGCAACAAAAAGAAAGAACCATGGGATACACGATCACGTCGAAGCTCATTGCCAACACTTTATGAGTATGACAGTGATGGCGGTTCATCGGTGCGAACCATTCCACAAGATATGCTTCCAACCGGTAGCGCAAACACTTATCAATATCCACCACAATCACGACGAACATCACGCTCTTCATTCAATGCGGAACACGTTGATATGCGTTCAATGTCAGAAGTTATTGTCGATTTCGGTCGTCCCGAATCGGATAATGTATCAGATGTTAGCTCATTCTATCCAAACAGGTATTTAAAGAGATTTACCCATTTTTTTTAAATTGTTTAAATTGGTAATTTCAATTTGATGTTTGATTATTCTTCTAGATATTACGACGACGATCCATATGACAGACGATCAATTCAACGATCATTGAGCCAACCTAGTCTTGCCCGTTCAGCAACTGAAATCACTGAACGTTGGGTCATTCCAGATGATGTATCCGAAGATTCGGAATCACCACGGAATAGTAATCGATTGGTAAGCATCTGTGACGATGTACATTTTTGTTTTGATGTACTTTTTTTAACAAATGATATTTCAACTTTTTAGACAACATTCCAACCTCGTGTACGTCATCCACAGCATGTAATCACTGAATCTCAGTTTGTCCAACAAAGTTCATCAACATTCCAAGCGACGAGTACCACATCACCACCGAAGGACTGGTACGGCGATAATTCCAAATAGATTGCATAGAATCTCCAACAAAATTTTGTCAAAATAAAAATGTCGATGTGCCAATTAAGATTGTACTCTATTTACAACCGAATGAAATGAATTGAAATAATTTATATAATATATATATATAGATTTTATACAATAGACTAGTCGATCGATTGAGCAGACTTCAAAGAATAAACTGCCAATAGCAACGACTCATTTCCATTTTATTCAAAAACAAATTCCATTAAAATCTATCAATATAGTTTGTCTATCAATATAGATCTACTGCGTTCTCGTTTTTTATGTTTAAATTTGAAAAAAAAAAATTGTATTAACGTGATACTGTGATAACGAAGGCAAAATCCACACATTCACTGTGCAAAAGCGCATTCCGATAGGAACTAATTAGTCAGCAAGTCAATTTTTTTAGATTGGAAACAAACGTTTAAATAGAAACAATCACATTTAGAGTAGGTGGAGGGACTCAAATGCAATCTCTTACAGAAATTCTCGCTAAGTTGCCGTCAAAGCAATTTATTTTTGATACTAAATTATTATTACTGATTCGAGAAGAAAAAAAACATGAAACAAAATTCTAATGTGCCTTTTGTTCAAAAACAAAATTTTATTTTTGAAGAAATTTCTTTAATCATATCGAAAATGAAGTGAAAAATAACATTATTCAAAATGGAAACTAATCCGTATAACAATATGTCTAATAGTTATAGATTGTAAGACAGAATTCGTGACAACACAAACAAATTTTATTTATAATTATAACGACAAAGTTACTTTAACGCAAAACTACTTTCTACTTTAAGAGACTCGATTGCATTAAATTCACTAACTTTAACACACTAAGTCTAAATACAGTTTTCCAAATGAATCTGTCATATGCTTCAATGGATAAAAAGTTAAAAAGTAAACAATACTAATGAAATAGACGATTGTTCACAATTAAACTGCTTGTATTTTTCAACGCTTTTTATCGAATAAATATCATACAATAATTAATATAGTTCATTCTTTATTGCATATACTTTAGTCCATGATTTTTTTTTAAACGTAATATTTCAGCTTGATAAAATAAAATAAATCATCAATGTTAAATGAAGTTCATTTGATTAAAAAATGGATTGTTGATGTTTTCATATGTTCATATTATTGTTCGATATTATTCTTGGTAAGAATGAGAATTGGGGGTTGATTGAACCTTAAAGTGACTCACTTATTATTTCTTCTTATTCAGTTGTTTCTATCATTTTCAGTGAAGTTTTATCTACTTTTTCCTCATTGTAGCAACCTAGGTAGATACAGACTGTGTCGACTCTTTCGACTGTTTTCAGCTTCCAAATTTTCACATTTGTCCTAGCATTTGTCCGAAGATAAGGGGTGTCCAAATGAGGTATTGCAATATAATAAATTTATAGAGTTTTTGTAAATATCGATAATGATTTCCTATGTCATTCTTGGTGTCGTTAAGTTGCGAACGATAACATATTCTGCTACTAGGAATTACTTTGAATATATAGTAAATGGCATCATATCTGGCCACCAGACTCGATATTGTACTAGTTTACTTAGTTAACGCTATAGTAACCGATAATAGAATCAAACAATGTCCCAAACAAATATGATTTCAATTATTTCGTTTATCTTAATGTTAGAAATCTTATCAGAAGTGAATGTTTCAGTCGATGCATCGGTGGGAAAACAAACTTTTTAAATAAATTTTTATGATATATAACTGATGTTTGTCACTCTTTTGTGTGCAGAAAAATATAATCATATTCGAAAAAGTGTTATGCAGAAAATTTCCAAATTCCATTGTATCAGGAGTTTCTTTTGACGTTAAATATATAAGTAGGAATGACATTAAACTGAATGGTTGGGTAGATTTTAGTGAACCAGTGTATGAGCTTTGGATACACACCGTCGCTTATTACAGGTTCAATGGATTAATCTATACAAAATTTCCTGTCAATTTATGGGAGGATTTATGTGGATGGTTATCTGGAAAAGCTACATCTTTCATTCTTGATTGGGGGTTCGGAAAGTTTCTTCAACATTCATACATGAATATTAATCACCCATGTCCATATGAGAGTCCTGTCTATATTGTCTGTTGATAACATTTCGGCAAGCAATTTTTTTATTGAACAATTTTTACCGGCCGGCAAATTTCGTGTTGATATTAATTTAACCAATACGCTTAGGGGCGCACCATTAGCAATGGGATCATTATTTTTTAGTGTGTCTGATCATCGTATCGAACAGTTTTGGTAAACTTGCAACAAAATATGAACGAATAATGTAATTCACATTTTAAGAGCACCGCATGAAATCGCATCAGTGAAATCACCTCAAAAGAACCGCTTGTATTCTACCAAATTAGTGAATCTTCAATCAGAATCTTCATCACGGATCAAACGAATAAAACATAAAATATTTTACGCGTTTTCAAACAGGCTTTTAGGTCGATTCTTTGAAAATTAGGATTAGTTGTTTGTATACATACATATCATTATAATGATATTATTATTAATAAAAGTTTTGGTTTGAAGTAAAAGAATTTTTTTTTTTGTCTTTTCCAAGAAAAAAACGCGCTGTATTGTATATTTTCGTCTTTATTTATTACAAAACCAATTAAACATTGAAACCAAATGAATGTTATAATTTTATATATAAAATCATATTCCCAAAATCAAATATGATGATTTTCCACACAAAATTTGTCATTTTCACACTTCAATATTCAAACGGATTTATTTTTGAAACTTGTGAATATTTTTTAGTGAAACTTCACGGGTTTAGTCTCTATTGATAGAACAATGAGTGTGCAAAAGTTCAAGGGACCGGCTATTTCAAGAATATATTGAATATTTCTCAAGATATTTCTTCAAAAAATTGTCCATTTGTATGAAATTGTATGAAAAATATTTGTTTGGTCTCAAACTTTCTGACGGCTCACAATTCGAAAGATCTACCAAAGATTCGGCCAAACAATTACTCCGCCAATTCAATGGAAAGAATTTTTTGATAATATTGCAATTTATTTCTGATATTTTACACATCTTTCCTTATGGTCACTTAAAATGCAGAAAAAAACTGCCATATTAATCGACTTCGCTGATTTCAATAAAAAAAAAATTACCACTTTTGCGAATTTGAAAAAGGCAATGGAAGAGATTCAAATTTATTCTTAGAAAATGCGAAATGTAATGAAAATATGCCACATGGTCCCTGCCAGAACTTAGTCAAATACTATGACTCAGCTCATGTTACACTTGATGGAATACTATTGGTTCAAGACAATAGTGACAAAATACCCAAGTACCGCTGAGCGGGTGATATAATAGTATGAGCCATATAAATACACTACCCGCTAAGCGTATACTATATACCTTAAGAGCGGGTGATATATCATCCTTAGGGGCTCGGAAGAATTTTTTATTCGTGAAAAACCATGCATATTTACGAATATTGGTCCATTCTGAGTAGTGAATAAAAACTTCAGTTTCTGTGAATATTCATGAATAACGTCATTATTCCTGATTATCGTAAATACGCGTGGGAGTAATGACAGTGAGACGTAGAAAAGCAATACGAATTAAATAGACAATAAATATGCGAATAAATATTGTACTATATTTATTATGTATTTCATTGTTTTGATTTAGTTAATTATACATTTCATTAATAAATATTCCTTTAAAAGGCATTAATAAATATTCATTTCAGCATGAATCGGATATCCGTTCAGATAAAATAAAAAAAAGGGTTTTAATATCATTCTACTTTGGTTTAAACTAAACCGTTTAATGTTAAACGAAGTTCATTTCATTAAATAGTGGAGTAGTGAATTCTCCATATATTTTTATTTTGTATGGTCTTTTCGGTAATAGCTAACATGGGGATTTCATCATTCTGTTGACAAACTTTAAACGCGATCCGCCCAATTACAATGAAACAAGTGATATTATTCGGATAGTACAAAGTGTAAAAATGATAAATTCATGAAATTCTGCCGTACACAGAAAAAAAGTAATTTGCACGGTGGCTGTTGGACTAGTACCATTATACTTTTTTCGGCTTCCAAATTGTCCTATTTTTCTTGTGTACAACGAATAAATAATGTCCAAATCTCAATTCCAATCTAGTTTAACCGATTTCACTGATCATTATTTTAATTGTGATCGAAGGAAAGACCCATTTAATTTTGTCTATAAAATTCGATGTTTCAACTCGACATTGAAATAGTTTAATCAGTTACCGCTCAGAGAATACATTAAAACGATTAAAAAAGCAAATATGTTTTCAATTTTTTTCTGTATCTTAACATTACACATTTCAGCAGAAGTGAATATTTCAGTTGGCGCAACGGTGAAAACTTCTTTTTTGAATAAAATTGTATGAAACTGATTTATATCACTTTTTTACAGAAAAATACAATCATATTCGAAAGAGTCATATGTGAACTAATCCCGAATAACATGATATCAGACTTTTATTGTGACGTTAAATATATAAGTCGAAATAACATTAAATTAAATATGGGGGCGAAATTAAGTCAACCAGTATATGAGCTTTGGACACACACCGTCGCTTATTACAGGTTTAATGGATTAACATATACGAAATTTCCAATCGATATTTGGGAAGATATTTGTGGTTGGTTATCTGGAAAAACAAAATCTTTCATCCTTGATTGGCTCTTCTCAAGATATCAAAAACGTTCAGTTATGAATTTTAATCATCCATGTCCGCTTGAGGGTCATGTTTATATAAAAAGTGATAACATAACGGCAAACAATTTTTTCATTGAACAATTTTTACCGGCCGGTAAATTTCGTTTTGATATCAACATAACCAACACTTATAAGAGCTCACCATTAGTAATGGAATCAATGTTTTTTAGTGTATCTGATCATCGAATCGAACGGTTCTGGTAAATTTGCTTCAATACTGGTTATTGAATAAATTCAAATTTTAAACATACACAGCATTAAATCGCATCGGTGAAATAGAGAGCCACTCACAAGTTCATCATTTTAAATAAATATATTTTGCTCACTACTCTGTATTTTATACCGATTTGAAGCATAAATAAAAAAAAATGTAGTATTATAGACTTGTTGGAATAATTTTAGCATCAGCTTTATAATACATTATACAAAGGTGAAAAGTAAGTTAGAACTGGTTGGTGGAGACAAATTTCTTTTACAATCGAATTAATGACATTCATTATGACAGAACATTGATTCAAGCCCGCCTGTGTTCTATCAGAAAGATATAAATCATTCATGAGGTTTGATGCAACGAAAAACATTACGAATTTCCCCCAACATCAACTCGGCAAACGAATCTGTCCCATCAAATCGGTAAATGGCTACTTTATTTTTTTTTTTATAACAACCGCCATACATTGCTACCCTGTTGTGAAATCGAAGAATAGCAACTACTAAAACTTTTAAATACTCTAAGAAATAAAAAAACCTTCAGGAACCAAAACAAAATACGAAGTATATAAATAATGGATCAATTCACAGTGCAAAAATAACTTTCATCCAAGTGATCGTATTTTGGTTATGTTTTTTTTTCCTGCAATTTCAATGAAACTTATTATATGTAATAAAATATATACGATACTAGAAAATGTACTAAGTTGTTCGGTACTCTGCAAAACACGCCTTTCGCGATTTTTTTCATTGGATTCTATTTTGGCAAAATACTGCCGTCTACTTGATCAAAACATGCATTTTTTCGACTTTTTTAAATGAGACACTATGAAAATATTTCATCAATTAAAAGTATTTATAAATCTGGTATGCTCTGAGCAACACCTACTTTTTCTTAATTGTTGCCATTATTAAAAACATTCAAATTATGCCACACATTCGACGTAGAAAAATGTCAAATAGCAAATGCAACGTATTATTCACAAGAATGGGATGTGCACATTTTTCATTTGTTTACATTTGAAAATATCAGGTGACTTATTGTTTTCATTCAACGCATAAGAAGAGCTGAATATGGCATATAACAAAAAAATCAGACGGAAAAGTATGACGCACATAACATAAACACAATATTTTTAGATCTGTGTTTATTCTATATTGTTTGAAAACATTATTATCCGTGCGTATCGAATAGAGATCAAATCAAATGGAAAATTGGTGTTTGTCTAGTCAAATGACACTTTTGTACATAAAACTGGTTTTTTTTATTCTACAAATAACGTTAGCCCATTCAATTGGGTAAACAGCATTGATGAATAAGAAGTTCGAATATAAACAAAACTATAAAATGTCATTTCACGGTATAAAGGAGTAAAATAATAGTAGACATGTAATTAAGTGGGCATCGAGTTACCAAAGATCCCAATTAACCCCAATTTTTTTCAATTTGCTTGAGTTTTTTTTACCCTCATAAGACCTCCAGTAATCAATTTCGTTGCAAGTAGAGTCAAAAACCCTTTAAATTTTTTGTGGCACTAGATAGAATCGTTTTTTGTCCGAAAGCTTCTCCACATTTTTGTCATTAACCCCCTCTAAAATCTTTAGCGTGTCCACCTATGGACATGTAGAATGTAATGGATTTTCCATCTGAGGAGTCTTCAATGAGGACCGATTGTACAACTCAAATATGCTAATTACGGTGCGGACAAAATACGATACTAATAAATAATGGAATGAACAGCATTTGTATTTAGTCACATTTAAGTCATCAAAAAGAATAAGATGTGTCGTCCAAACGAACAAGTTCAATCAGGACATTTAATTTGTCACATTTTCCGTCCAATTCATATCGTATTGCGTGTATTTGGTGTTACATTTTTCACCGTTGAAAAATCTCATCGGCTTCGAATTTTAGACATATTTTATACGTTAACATGTTTTGTCATTTTCCTTGGAAGCTTTTTTTATCAAATATCAAGTGAGGTGCCAAGATTTTGTCAATCCGATCCAGTTTGCACATCGGTGCTTGGACTACAACAAATCCTTTCTTCAATTGCTCTCGTTGCCATTTACTTTCAAGCAATTTTTTACCGAGAACAATTTAGAGAATTACTAAGAACAACTTCGTTGGCTAAAGATGCATTTTTAACCATGAATGTTAATTTCTGTGAAAAACGATTTACGTTGAAAATATTATGTGAAGTTGTTTTTGCAACGACATTTATTTACGTCACATTTATTGTGTTTGTGATTTATTATGACGTACAACCAATCGGCTTTATTTTATTGGAGCTTTTTACATCGATTAATCCAATGCTCGTTATAATTCTAACTAATTTAATTCTAATTAATTTAACTTGGTTTATTTGTGATAAATTTAAAATGTTGAAACATATCTTGAAAGATGTGTGCGCAATTGATTTATCGATTGAAAGCGATTCCAACAGGTTGTGTAAAGTGACATTAATTCGTAAAACAGCGTATGGTCTATGCTGTGATTTCAGAAAAATTCAGAATATTTACGAAATGTTATTTACCATGGCACAGAATTTAAATGATATTTTTGGCTTTTCAAATCTTGCATCAATGTGTAAGACGTCTTTTTTATCTTTTTTCTTTCTATTTATTTATTTCAATCGACTTATTCTTTCGTCTTTCATTTCAATTGGCACTTAATAATAATAATTTCCGAATTCCTAGCTCTATTTAGCATCACATTGACGTGTCATCTATTTTTGTTATTTAAATTGCTCACCGAAAATACCAACAACATGAACAACATCCAAGTCGATGTCCTAGGTACATTTGTCACACTCTAATTGAATTAAATGGCTTTAAGTGTTGTTCTCAATTTTCGTTCACAGCTTCAATCATATGGATAATTTTAATGACAGTTCCACTGCTATATACATCAATCATATGTCACTTAGCAGTTTGTCAGGTAATCAATTTCACATTTTAATAAACACTTTTTTAATAGACACTTCCCTTCGAACGCCATCGTTTCCCAACAAAGGCAACCGAAATCACAAAAATCATGAATGAAACGGTTGCCGACAGTAAAAACAACGGCATCTCACAGATTGACGTGAGTTTTTATGAATTTTTTTACTACACTTCTTTTTATACATAAATACGAATAAAACTATTCTTTTTTTACAATCATGTTTGTTCATTCAACAGCTTGAATTAATTTCACTACAATTTATACACCAAAAACCGCAATTTTCAGCTTGTGGATTTTTCTCAATTGATATGACATTCGCTTATGCGGTGAGAATTCCATTCATTTGAATTTCAGTAAACATTTTGAACAAAAATAATGCTGTTTTCATATTTAGGTATGTGGAGCTGTTACTACGTATCTGGTGATTTTGCTACAATTTAAATATGGATAAGATTCAACGTGATTTAAAAAAGACATTGTAAAATCCATGCTTTCTCATATCATTCGGATAAAAAACGTGTGTGGAACCTCTTAAATGAAAATAACATTTTCGATAATAATGACAACGATCATGGCGATGAGAATAAATTTGTTCAAAATATTCTTGAATCTAATATACAAAATGAAAAATATTATGAAATATACCAGGGTTCGATTATGTTTTCTGCTCTGTGGTCTTAAAAAATGATTTTTCGTGTAATGTATTTCAATGCTGAAACGTATCGCACTATACATGTGTGACTGACACTCAACTCTAAATTAAGCCCACTTCATTTTTGTGCATAGAACATTTGTCGCATTGAGAAATATTAATGTTATACGTCATAAAATAAATAATTTGAATCATTTTAGATTCATTTGATATTGCATATATGCTCCACAACAAAAAAAATGTGAATTCAACACTTTCGAGATTCTTTGAAGTCGGTTGCATATCTACTTGCATATGCACTTGCGCTTTTAGCAATATCATCAAATAAAATACCAAATCATCTTTTCTCATTCTCTTTTGCTTTCTCCAAGGGGAAAACCGGTACTGAAATACTAAATATACTCAGAAGTATTGAAAAGTACCGAA